CCGCGGGCAAGGCTTTCGAAAGATAATACCCTGCAGTGGTGTCCCAACTTAGCCCATGATAAGCTATCGCGATCAACGAAGGATATTCCTTCTCCCAGGAAGACCCGATCAGTCTCGGAATCCCGGTTTACAAGACATTTTGACAATGGTAAAACAAGACCAGCAAGACCGCCCGATGCGTCGACATCCCGATAGGAGCTGCACATATCTCGTTCTCAGGGCAACACCGGATAAGCTAAGCATACAGGTACCGACGTAACCCAAGTTGCCAAGGGATGGTCCCGCACGGTGCTCTAGTTTGGACCAACACTTAGACAAGCATTGGCCCGGGTGGGCTATAATAAAGATGACCCTCGAGAGAGCGACTCCCAAGGGAAAAGTAGGTGGTGGTGAAGCAAATGGTAAAACCAAGGTTGGGCCTTGCTGGAGGAGTTTTATTCAAAGCGAACTGTCAAGTGGGGTCCCATAAATCACCCGACCGCGTAAGGAACGCAAAATCCGGGAACATAACACCGGTATGACGGAAACTAGGGCGGCAAGAGTGGATCAAAACACCAGGCATAAGGCCGAGCCTTCCACCCTTTACCAAATATATAGATGCATTAATAATATAAGAGATATTGTGATATCCCAACATAACCCTGTCCACCATGGAGCAATCTTCAACTTCACCTGCAACTAGCAACGCTATAAGAGGGGCTGAGCAAAGCGGTAACATAGCCAAACAACGGTTTGCTAGGAAGGGTGTCAAAGGTTAGAGGTTCATGGCAATTTGGGGAGGCTTGAAGAACCAGTTATAAGAAGCGCAGCAAAGCGATAGAACGATGCAACTAGCATAGCAATGATAGTAGTGAGATCCAGGGTAGCGGTCATCTTGCCTGAAATCCCGCTAGGAAGAAGAACGAGTCCATGAAGAAGACGAACGGGAGTAGTCGAACGAATCCTCACAATCGCAACATTACCGGGACTAAGAAGCAACACCGGAAAGAAACAAACAACATGGTAAATGCACAAGCATAAACATGGCATGATGCACAAACAAGCATGATGCATGTCCGGTTTAATGAGGCATGGCATGGCAAAGTGGAACAAACAATACTACAAGTTAAGTGGAGCTCAATATGCAACGAGTTGCATATTGACAAGACACCACATCAATTATTTAGTTCTCTCTTGGTTATGCTACTCATCAATATTAAATGTTGTTAAACATGGCAAGAGGTGAAGCATAATAAAACTACCTATCTAGGCAAATTTAAATGAGGCCAGAAGAACAAACAACAATTCCGGAAAATCCCCATAAGCAATATTCGAATTTGGTACTGTTCTGCCCTAAAACATATTTTAAAGTTGTTAAACAGGAAAATAAAGTGGACCTGGTTAAACTAGGCATTTTTTCCACCCCATTTACATATAAAGTTTATTTAAAACCGAGCTACGGTTATTTAGTTATGAAATAAATCATTTTAACATGGTATTTGAGCAAATTTAAACAAACAGCATTTTAAACATTTTAACATGGGATGAAAATGGCATATTATTAATCTACACAAAATTCTAAGCATTTTACATATATAAATCATTTTAATCCGATGCACGGTTTGTGAGATATTAAATGCATGAACATGAGGGTTTTTCTGCAAAACAGTTAAATTACTGGATAAAGCGAAATTCGCAGTACTGGAAAAAAAAACAAGACATGGGCCAGATCTGCTGGGCACTGGGCCGCTCACCATGGGCCATGGCCCAGATCGGAGGAGAGGCCAAAGCAGGCCGGCTGGGCGCTGGGGACTTGGCGCTCCCGAGGCCACACGGCTGGGCCGGATCTAGCGAAAGAGAGGTGACTCAGGCGCGTGCGGTCGGTCGTGGGGCTTGACGCGGTCAACGCGAGCGAGAGTGGGACGAGGCGCTGGTTCAGGCGAGCGAAGAAGAGGTCGGCGACGCCATGGACTTGCGAAGGCGAAGCCTCTCCGGCAAGGCGAGGATGGGGCGAAGGCGACCCGTTCCGGCGGTTCGGGGACGCGGCGCCTCGCCGGATCTGGCGGAGATGGTGATGCGGAGCAGGGCGGCGGCGGGAGCTGCAAGGCCATGACGGGGAGAAATTCAGAGAAAACAGGAAGGAAGAAGAACGAGGGAAGGAGGTGGGGCATGGCGCTGGACCCGTGGCTGCCGGAGTCACGCTCGCTGGCGCGGAGGAGGAGGCCAGGGCGGCGAGGTCCTGGAGACCCTGGGCTTGGGCGCTCGGCCTGAGGAGCTCGGATGGCGGCGTCCATAGCGGCGAACAGAGAAGGCTGGGACGAGGAAGCAGGGGCTCGCGAGGGGTGCTCGGGGTTGCGGAGGAGGAGCGGAGACGCGGCAAGGCTACGGTGGAGTAGTGGATCGACCAGGAGGAGCTGCGGCTTGCTGTGGATGAGCTCCGTCTCGAGGGGCTCCTGCTCGGGCACGAGCGTGGAGACGTGGGGCTGCGGCCAGAGGAGGTCGTCGGCTACGATGGCGCGAGGGGACGAGGCCGAGCGCTCCTGCTCGGGACCTCGAGCAGCTTCAGGGAGCAGGGCAGGGGAGGCGGAGCTCGAGCATGGCGTCCATGGGGTTTCCTATGGGCAAAGGAAGAGAGAGCGGAGAGATTAGAGAGAGAGACGGTGAGATGGAGAGGGAAAAAGAGAGGGCTGGGGCGCAAGACGGGCGACCTGGCAACACGCTCCGGCGAGGCGGAGCTGACGAGGCAGCGGCTGGAGCGAGGGCGTCGGGGAGGCAGGAGGCCTCGGGTGGAGTGGATCGAGGAGGGCATGGATTTGGTTGGCTGGACTGAAATCGAGGAGGAGGGGATGAGGAGCTTCACGCGTTTGCTCGGGTTCGATCCCGAGGAAGGAGGAGGCTGGTCGGTGGATGGATTGGGCAGGAGATGAAAACGAGGAGGTGGCGGCGGATGGGACGGATAGAATGGATGGGACGGATAGAGCTAGGGTTTGACTGCTTAAATAGCCAGGTGGACTAGGCTAGGGACTATTTGGTCCCTCTGATCGTAATCGGAAGGTCGAGAAAAACAGGCTAGGGAAGCTCAAATAAGAAAACGGAGATGTTTTATAGATGTTTGGGGATGAACTGAATCCAACGATGATGACTGAGCAGGTCGGGTTCGGGACAACTTTCGGACGCGCGCGAGGGGTTTGGGTATTGTGCAAAGAGGGTCAAACGGTCGGGCAACAACAGAATGGTCGGTCTGAGAAAGGTCAACAGAGACGAGGAAGAAGCGGCAACTAACAACGGATGCACGTTTTATGAAAACATGCAGATGCAATGCGCATGATGCTATGAGATGAAATGCAAGACATGAACACAATGCAAAACAAACAACAAAAACCCAACCACGAAGGAAATCTCATATCGCATCTCCGAAAAAGGCAAGAGTTGGAGTTACAAATATGAGAAGTTGTATCCGGGGCGTTACAACACCAACCAAACAACCCCCATCTCATGTCTTCATCTTACTGCTAACCCTATGCAGTAGGCGCCGCCGGCCACCGTCGTTGTTACCTGCAACGACGCGACCAGTCACGTCCGTCCTACCCCTTCTCCTCGTCTCCTCGCACCCCACACCTCCTGGCCTCCCATGCAACGCTACGACCAGCGACAACTGTCGTTCTCCCGCACGTGACCCCAGTCGGGTGGCCAAAGCGCATCCTCCCAGCCACCCTCCATGGAGACCGACCTAGGACATATAGTAGGTGCAACAGTCGCTGCAGTCCGACGCCGACGAGCTCGTTTGCGCAGCTTTAGTGGATGGCATAGGACAATGTGGGACATCAAAGTGTACGTCTTCGTCCTCGCACCTCCAGCCACCTTCAAAAGTTTGGTTGGCTGAAAAGTTTGAATTTTTAAGTTTTTAAATTAAGGCCTCCATGGAGCTCGGCCTTCATTTGGCATTTTCGGTAAAGTGGGCTTGTTTGTTTTTCATTTATACTCCCTCCGTCCCAAAATAAGTGTCTCCACTTTGTACTAACTCTAGTACAAAATTATACTAAGCTTGAGACACTTATTTTGAGACACTTATTTTGGGACGGAGGGAGTATATTTTTGGTCCTTGGCAACATCAATCAAAGCATTACACGTCCACATACTATTTTTGTCTGATAACTGGAGCAATGGAGCTCGTGCTCACAACTGCATTTTCGCAGGCTCAAAAGATAAATAGGACAGGTAATTTTCAAAGTACATATCATAGTAATGTCATGCAGTTTTCTGTAGGGAGATTTCTTGCTGATGGTTCAGTAGGCAGTCCTACTAATTTAAGAATAGCTGCTGTAAATAATTTGCTGGACCTGAGCTTTCTCTTATCTCGTGGGAGGCTCCTTAATTCCAAAACACAAAATCTACCGGTTACCTTTGTTGAAAGGCAACAATGTCACTTTCCCTTACGATCAGTGTACATTATTATTATTTTTACTTCTCACTTGAGCAAAAATAAATAAAGATAAAAAATCATCCCCAGAACTGACGGTAACCATTGAAGTGAGCAGTCAACATGTATGCTACTCCCTCCGTCCATAAATTCTTGTCTTATATTTGTCTAGATACGGATGTATCTAATACTAAAATGTGACTTGATACATCCGTATTTAGACAAATCTAAGACAAGAATTTTGGGACTGAGGGAGTAGTATACTGTGCACTGAAAAAGTGTTTGAGCAAGAACTATTGGATTGCAAGAATATGTCCAGATCAAGAACCATAAAGATAAGTGAGCAGGTCAACTTGTTCCAACACATCAGGAGCACTCGGTTCTAACCTCTAAATGGAGCCACGTATCTATGAACTTATCCCAAAGGAAGCATTCACCAATATCAGAACACTCTGAAAATTTACTACAGTATTAAATATTTTCTTCATTAGGCGACAGTTCACATAGCTTAAGCAAGAGTACAAGCGCGATAACTACCGAATTACAGAGTTCAGAGGGCTTACAAACTACCACAAAGGTGACATACATCTCTTTTTCTCAACTACGACATGAAGCGAACAAAACCGGGCAAAGACATCCCCAATTCTTCAATGATCTGCATGCGCTCATCAGCGTTCCGTGGATATCTTGATGGGCACTTCATCTTGGGATCCAAGTCACCACATCGCAGACATACCTTCCTGTCGTGCAGAGATATCTCCGCCATATTAACCGCATGTTCCCTGACACACCTGATGAATCGCACAAAGATGTCGTCAGGTTGGAAGCCGTAGATGGTGAGCTTAACCAAATTCTTGTGCTTGAAATCAGGGGCATGTGGCTTCCACTCCACGTCTGCCTTTTCACAGTAGCCATTTCTCTCCCGAAACTCTTTGTCTCTCATCACCATATGGCACCAATGATCCCATACTGTGATGCACAGCTCTTTGAGGGACGGTGCAGCTTCAAGAATAAACATTGTCCAAGCTAAATCACATCCTTCAGGAAGTTTGTCCAGAATCACATGCTGTAGTTTGCTGAGCACAGGCCTGAGCAGCTCCGGGCTTTCTGGTAGAACCCAAATCTGGGAAAGAGAAAACAATTTGCAAACTGAGTGCAGGTTGCATATAAATCACATTGTCAACTAATAAGCTACTATTGTTATTACATATATAACCATCCTATATAGAGTGAAAATGGTCAGGTATGATTCAAATGACTAATTATTAGTACCTTTTCACTTTCAAAATCCAGATGCAGATCGCTTATGGAAGGAACATTACCGAGGAGCTGACTCAACTCAAGAGTCCTAGTCGATCTGGAGCCAGTTTTAGCAAGCCTCAGCTTTGAAAGCTGTGGCACAAAACCAAAATACAGGGGATCTTTCTCAGAGTAGAACCAACTCTTATAGCTCACCCGTCGGAGTTTCGGTAGACATGTCAGCTCAACTATCTCAAATTTCCCATAGTCGACCTCGAGCTCGGTAAGCTGAGCATGTTCTAGTTGCAGCACAGAATTCATCCCCGAGTCGCAATGGGTTAAACGCAAAGACTCCAAGAGCTTGCAGGTGCTGAGGATGTTGGGTATGTCCAGTTCACCACCAAACCTCATATTGCACAGCCACAGGCGCCTGAGGCCAGCAAATGCATCACGACAAGCACCGAGGAAATCATTGAGCTGCTTTGCATGGTCGAGGAGATCGGCAGGAGAGCACTTCAAATGAGTCTTGTCTGTTACGATCTGGAACTCAGCCGCGCCAACCTTCTGTGTTGCCATGGCATGGGCGACAGATTTGCCAATTGTGTAACAGTCAGGTTGCACCAAGAGGAATCTGATTTTGAGTCTGCTGATGGTGATCTCTGGGCTCCTTGTGCTCAAGATGTTATCCGTTACATGAGCCACAACACTGTTGGTTCTGACAAATTCACTGACGTTGAAAACACGAGCTCTAACATGGTGACCTGGAATGGAACTACAGCTCAGGAAGAAGTGCGAGAGCATGGTGGGGAGCTTCATCATTCGCTTGGAGAGGACGCAGGCCCTTATTGCATCGAGCGTGTCCACCCTCTCCAGAATGTTTAGCAGAAGGTCATCAGGCAGCTTGGTAAGCCTGTCTGTGTCTTCTTCGCTGCTGGCAGCATCTTTGTTGTGAGTTGCTTTCTGTGTTGCATTTACCTGGAACAACAAATAATCAGCCTTTTTAGGAAGAACCTTTTGTGTGAAGTACAAACATCAATCAGGCACAACAGAAACAACACTTACATTGCGTGTGCGGTGATGTCTTTTCTTCGTCATGGCTGGTCGGATCAACAACTGGTCTTGTTGAACACACAATGTAAGTGGGGTGATGGGGAGGGCTTTCTGACCTTGCTGATGATCTAAAAAAACTGGTCTTCTTGATGATGGGACGTCTGCACTGTTTGGATCGACCTAATTTGAATCCCCCCTCCCCCTCCTCTGTTTATTCGATCAACCAGCGCCCCCGCCAACTTATGCGGACTAATCGCCGGCAGGCCCTCCTCCAAAAGGGAGGAGGATCCTGATTACAACTTGTCAATAGACAGACTCCTCCCCGATTACAAAAGGAAATCAACCACGCATAATAGCCAGGCCCAGGCAGCGGAGGTGGTGGCAACGAAGGAGAGCGGTTGTGGCCGGCGGCGGACAGCAGTGGGGGGCTGTCGCAAGGGATGCGGACGGAGGAGAGTCGTGGTGGCCGGCGGCGATCGGCAGGTGTGGGGTAGGGGGCTGTCGCAGGGGATGGCGGCGGACGGCAGGTGTGGGGTAGGGGGGCCGTCGCAGGGAATGGCGGCGGCGGAGGAGAGTCGTGGTGGCCGGAGCCGGACGGTGGGTGTGGGCAGGGTCTGTTGCAGGGGATGACGGCCATACTTCTTCGGCCCAGCCACAGAAGAACGAAGCCTTTTCGTTCGCTGCATGGTACTGGCCCGGCCCGTTTTCCGCGCTCTCACGCTCGCTTTCTCGCTCGTGGTGTTCGATGCGTTTTTCTTTGTTTTCGTTTTTTTCTTTCGCTTTTTTAACTTTATAGGTGTTCTTTGTAATTTTCTTTTTTTTCCTCTGGTTTCTTCGTTTTATTTTTAATTTTCAATTTTTTTATTGTTGGTCCTTCTTAGTTTCTTTTCTCAGTTTTACCTTTTTTTTCTACTTTTCTTTCTTCATATTTCTTTGCTTCCTTTTGGCTTTTATCTTCTTGTTTTTTTTGTTTTCATTGTTTCTTTCTTAGTTTTCCCTATTTTCATTCGTTTGCATTGGATTTCTTTCATCTCCATCTATTTGGTTTCCTTTTTCTTTTTCTTTTTCTGTTTTTTGTTTTTCTTTGTTTCTTTATCGATTTGCATCGGTTTCTTTTTTTCAACACATGTCAACTTTTTTCAATGGACATTCAACAATTTTCGCATACATCAAAACTATATTTATATCAAGTTTAACATTTTCAAATACATGATTAACATTTTCTTGAAAAGTTATTTTTTATCTCTACATTTCTCCATACACATTGTACATTTCGGGTATATATATATTATAAATTTTATTAATATACAAAAAAAATCGAATACAAGAATTGTTTTTTAATAAACAATGCATATTTTTCGTATACGTTAGGAACTTTTCATACATGTTAAATATTTTTTAAATATATAATCAACTTTTGAAATATATGTTTTTTGATGTCTACTCTTATCTAATGTACTTTGTACATTTTTGTATACACCAGTACATAATCAACATTTTTTCAACAAGCATATTTTTGTATATATGATAAACATTTTCCTATATCCATTTAACATTTTTCAAATGCTTTATTAAGATTTTTCAAATAATTTAGTAAGATCTTTTTTAATGCTTGATTAACATTTTTTAAATACATGATCGACTTTCTTTGTACACATTATATATTTTTGTCTACATTTTTTGTATACATGAGAAACATTTTCTCTATACACATTCAATATTTTTCAAATGTTTGGTTAACATTTTTGAAATGTTTTATGCAAATTGTTTTTCGTAATACATATATTAGAATATTTGGAAGTATAAGTAAAAGTAAAAAAAATAAAGAATAAGCGTGAAAAAAAATTTGGTACCCATGTTAACCCGTTTCGGAGAGGGCCAGAAGATGAAGGAGGAGCCCACGAGGCACCAGGGCGCGCCTAGGGGGGTAGGCGCGCCTGGTGGATTATGGGGCCCACGTTCACCCGTTTGACATAATTTCGCCTCTATAAATTCTCTAAAATCGGAACCAACATAGAGCCACCCAAAAAAAATTTACTGCCGCCGGAAGTTCCTGCTCTCGAGAGATCCCATCTGAAGGCCTTTTCCCACACTCTGCCAAAGGGGGAATCAATCACGGAGGGACTCTACATCAACCTTGTTGCCCTTCCGATGATATGTTAGTTGTTTACCACAGACCTACTGGTCCATAGTTAGTAGCTAGATGGCTTCTTCTCTCTTTTTGATCTTCAATTTGATGTTCTCCTCGATGTTGTTGGAGTTCTATTCGATGTAATCACTTTTTGCGGTGTGTTCGTTGGGATCTGATGAATTGTGAGTTTATGATCAGATTATCCATCAATATTATTTGAGTCTTCTCTGAACTCTTTTATGTATGATTATTATAGCTTTGTACTTCTCTCCGATCTGTTGATCTGCTTTGGACAACTAGATTGATTTTTCTTGCAATGGAAGAGGTGCTTTGTGATGGGTTAGATCTTGCGGTGCTCAATCCCAGTGATAGAAAGGGCGATACACGTATTTGTATCGTTGCCATTAAGGATAAAAGGATGGAGTTTATTTATGCGTGAGTTTACTTTGTCTACATCATGTCATCTTGCTTAAGGCGTTACTCTGTTCTTTATAAACTTAATACTCTAGATGCATGCTGGATAACAGTCGACTTGTAGATGCAGGCAGGACTCGGTCTATTTGTCTCGGACGTGATGCCTATATACATGAACATTGTCTTGGATATCGTCATGATTATTCGTTTTTCTATCAGTTGACCAGCATTAATTCATTTACCCACCGTATGCTATTTTCAAGAGAGAAGTCTCTACTGAAAACTATGACCCTCGGGTCTATTTTTATCATATATTAAAATCCAAAAATATCTTGCTGCATTTTTTCTTTACTTTATTTATTTTGTGTTTTATTTATCTATCTATCACTACAAAATTTAATCTCTGCAAATAACCGTCGAGGGATTGACAACCCCTTGTTCGCGTTGGGTGCAAGGATTTTTTATTTTGTATGCATGTACTGCTAACGAGTTGTTGCGTGGTTTTCCTACTGGATTGATAACCTTGGTTCTTAACTGAGGAAAATATTTATCTCTACTGTACTGCATCATCCTCTTCTCTTAGGGAAAATCTCAATGCAGCTCACAGGTAGCAATTAACACGAGTAATACAAGAATCACGAAGAGACATAAGGTGTCTAATCTCCATAATAAGCGACGAGTAGACCGATCTATCAACCTCTTTGGCTTGGAATCAACTTCACGACAACAATTGAATCCATCTCTTTCGCCATTTGGTTTAATTTACAATCAATTAACCACGATTTCCAAAACCCAACTCTCATGGACGGGATCTCTGCGGGTGGTAACTACCTCAACAAGCCGGCGGACAAGCTCTTCATTTGGTTCTGGCTGAAGGGCGTCGACGCGGTATGAGCATGCTAGCCGTCGACTTTGCCACCTAGCCGCTTCGCACTGGCTTTCCTGGGGTGGCGTTGCAACATGGCCGAGGGAGGGGTGTTGGGTGATGGCTGACGAGGAGTGGCCGAGAGAGGGCCCCTAGCGAGCCGGGGCGGCAGCGGCAGCAAGACCGATTCCAATTAGCATTGGCGACCATAGTACAATGGTCACCACATAGAGATAGGGGGAGAGAGAAGGGGGTTTTATTTATTTATTTATTTCATGGGTGCCCAGTAATCGGCCAATGCGGTCAAAACCACTTGACTAATTCAAAATTGAGACCAGGGTTGATTTTTGAACCGCATGGTTAGTGCGGGGTGTATGTCGGCCGGTTTGAAGTTGAAGTTAAGTTTTAAACCGAGTGGTTAGTTCAGTGTTGAAATGTAGACTTCTCTCACATATAAACGACATGGAACTATGTTTAAAAAAACACTCAGAACTAAGTGACATTTCCCCGTTAAATCCCCCACAACTCTCTCTCTCTCTCTCTCTCTCTCTCTCTCTCTCTGAAAGTAATTAACTCACCATGCTGCATCTTAATTTCCCACATTATTGTTTTTGAAACTATCAAGAAGAAAGAACGGGCATACACCGTTTGTGTGTGTGTCAAACCCGGCAAGGGCACACGTCCCAAGTCTCCTCTCCACTACATTCGAATGGCCTGCAAAATGCATCTCTTGCCCAAACTCCGGCATCCCTGCACGCCAGCAACTCAATGACCAAAGGATCCTCCATATATCCACTGCACCTTAATTACATTAGTGCTTTATTTTTACCAATCCTGTATTGGGTGAACTACTGCAATATTGCAACAGCTCAACCTAGGAAGATGAAACTTGCGGGAACACAGTAGTTTGTTGTAACCAACACACGCTCCAGTTTATTGCTAAAAAATGTTTAGAGGAATTTTCTTTTTTTGAACATATTTTCCAATTTCATGACATTGTTTTAAATCACGTACAATTTTCGTATTCATGAACATTTTTTATGTAATTGTGAACATTTTTCAAATTTGCGAAATTTTGTACAGATTCATGAACATTTTTCAAATGAATGAAATTTTATTCTTAAATTTGCACTTTAAAAAATATGAACATTTGTTTGAAACTCGTGAACATTTTTTCTGAATCAACGCACATTTTTTGAATCGACAATCATTTTTTGGGGGGAACAATTTTTTAAAATTCATGAACTTTATGAACATTTTTGTGTGAGCAAGAACATTTATTTTAATTCATGAACATTCTTTGAACCAGCATACATTTTTTAATCAATGTACTTTTCTGTAATTCACAAAAAGTTTTTTATTATTGTGAACTTTTTTTAAAAAAATCATGATTTTTCTTGAATCGGCGAACATTTGTTCCAAATCATGATATTTTCAATTCATGAACACTTTGTCAAACTGCTATCATTTTTTCTAATTCGGCGAATATTTTCTGAATTTGAGAACAATTGTTCAAACTCGTGAACTTTTTTTTAATATTCATTTTTTTTGTTTTGGAATCCCTGCCATTATTGGAAATTCGGAACTGTTTTCAAATCCCGAACAATTTTAAAGAAGAAACAAAAAACCCAAAAATAACAAAAGAAATAAGAAACACAGGGGCGCCCCTCCCCCATATGGGCCAGCCCAAAAGCACGCGCAGAGAGCTCCCCGCGCTTTGGGTTGGGCCATTTGCGGGTGGGGCGTTTCAGTTCTTTTTTCATCCTTTGTTGTTTCTTTTTTAATTTCGAACAATGTTCAAGAATCTAAAATTAAAAAAAGTTCGGGGTTTAAAAAATTTTCAAAAATTTCAAGAAAAAATTCATGAAATTTATAAATCTTCAAGAATTATAAGAAATGTTCTGAATTTCGAAAATGTTTCAGGGATTTAAAAAAACGTTCCAAATTTCAGTTACATGATTTCAAAAATGTTCTAGATTACAAAACATGTTTACAAATATGAAAAAAGATGTTCGTTTTAAGGTGTTCATGGATTTGAAGAAAGTTTGGAATTCCAAAAAAAGGTTCCCGGATTTGGGAAAAAAATTCCTGAATTCCAAAATTATGGAATCTCCAAATTACAGCCGGATTTCAAAGTTTCCAGTAGCCAAACTGCAATTAAAGCAACTGTTGTTATAAAATGAAGGATGAAGGTTAAATGAACAAGAAGGTGATGCTTTCAGTTGGCCTTCAACGACTTATGTACAACATTCAATCAACAGGTTTTCTGACGATTCAATATGTAAACAGATTTACTATACATAAAACACACGGTCATGGCCAGCCCCCCTCAAGAAATCTCGCCTGGATAAATGCAAAAATCTAATAATAACAAGGTCGACGAGGAGTGACCGAACGAGGAAGACCGGTCTCAAATAAAAAGAGTTTCCAACGCCATCGAATATAACATGACAAAGCAGGGTAAACACAACCTTAGTCAGAAGTTCAACAGGAAGAGAAAAACATGACCTTGGTCAGCATAACAGACTTTTCTTAGCTTACTGGTCAGTGGTCACTACAGTAGGTGCAATATGAACTGCGCTTTGTACTTGAGGTCTACCTTACAGCGCATTAAACAAGGCAACTTTTGCGCACTCAAGGGTGTTAGTTTTATCCAATAACAACATGTTGCTCTAAAGGAAGGAATGCACATCAACACTGAGAGGTTGTTTACTTGGGGAAGTGGATTTCCACAGCTGAGCACATCTCGCTGTTGATTTTGTTCCTGACCGAAATCTTCTGCTTGCTTGTCCATGGGTATCTCGATGGCTTTCGAACCATGTGCTGGCATATCTTGCACACCGGCCTGTTATGCAAGTAGATGTTCTCAAGATTCACCGCTGCTTCCATGATACTTTTTATGTAACTCATAAACTTCTCTTCTGTCTGAAACCCAAAAATCCTGAGCACAGCCAAGCTGTGGTGCTTGAAACCAGATGCAGATCCGACACATTCTAATCCACTATCCTTCGGCTCCTCGCTATATGAATGCTTCTTCCTCTCCTCTTCATCCAGTATTGTATCACAGAAATGATCCCACACCTGCATGTAATCGTACAAAATATACATTTTGGCAAGGTAAGAAGAAGCATTTTTTGTGATTTACTTATTTAATTTGGTCCAGAAAGTTTAAACTCTGATGAAATGAGACTACACTTCCGCAGCTTGAATGTAACATGAGCATGCATGGGATGTAAACAAAAGAGGTCTGAGATTAGGTACAAAGACTTTACTCTGATGCATAGCTCCTTAAGGGAAGGTGCGCCTTGGAGAATGAACATTGTCCAAGTCAGATCACACTCTTCTGAAATGTTAAGCAAACTAACAATCTGTAGTTTGTGGAACACATTGGATAATTCTCTTGGCGCCTCAGGTTTAATCCAAATCTGCAAAGAAACAAAGAGATAGAAAAAAGATTAGAGCCTCACAATGACATGATCAAGGAAAATAACATGCATCATCAAAAAGAATATACAACCTGTACTAACCTTCTCGCTTTCAAAGTTCAACTGCAGGTCCCTAATGGTGACTTTGCCAAGAAACTCACTTAATTTGAGCATCTTGTGGTATGAAAGAGCCGTATTACTGATGCTCACACTCTTGAGCAGTGGGACATAACCAAAAGACAACGGATCGTGCTGAGTGATCCAATCAGAAAATGTCAGAACAGTGAGCTTTGGTAGCCACTTCAGATCAACCCGCTCAAATTCGCTGTCGACAATCTCAAGTTCACTGAGTTGCGGGTGTTCCAATTCTAGGAAAGACAACTTGCCCATGTCACAGTTTAGCAAGTGGAGGAACTCTAATCGCTTGCATGTACTGACAATTTCAGGTAACTCTGATTCAGCTAGCCTCAAATTCTGTAGCTTGAGGCCTGTGAGAGCATTGAATGCGTTGGGACAAGTGTAAAAGAATGACATGAACTTCCTTCCGTAGTAGAGCAAACCTTTATCGGTGCACTGTGTAACTTCCTTCTTCGTCATGACTGTGAATTCAGCCATACCAACATTCTGTGTTACAATGGTATCGGTAACAGCCTGGCCGATGTAAACACAGTCATCTCCCAAGTAGAATTCCATGCGCAGTAGTCGAATGGTGTATAGATTTGTACAGCTCCTATTTCCCAATATGCTGTTAGTTGCTTCAATCATGGTGGAATTGGGATGAGCATCAAAGCAGGGTAAGTTCGACTTGGGAAGCTTGCGCTTAAAGGAATCGACTGTTATGACGATTTTGGAGAGCATGGCAGGGACCTCCTTCCACCGGTTGGAGAGGACACTGGTTCGTGCGACATCAGCAATGTCAAGACGTTCGACAATGTTGAGCAGGATATCATCGGGCAAATTGCTCAGCCAATCATGTCCATATTCTTCCTGAACCAAGCAAGGAAATAAAAGAGTTCATTTTTTGTTACAGCCTCATAGTTGCAATTTTGGTATTTTCCACATGCAAAGATAGATTTCTTATAGTTTCCAGCCAAAAGATACAATTTCGATATCTTCCAGAAACAAATATACATTAAAAAAAACACACAATGATGCATTTTTTGTAAATTTCCAGATGCAAAGATATATTTTATGATTCATGGTTTTTCATTTCAATATTTTCCACAAACGAAGATAGAAAATTTATAATTTCCAGCAAAGAAATGTAATTTCGGTATTTTTATACCAAACACGAACAGATTGTTCCAACTTGTTTTTCTTGTACAGTCTAGCGAAAGGAAAAGGTAATAAAGAGGAGAATGAACTCACTAGCAGCCAGTCCTTTGCGGGTGGTTTGGCCGTCGATCTGGCAGCCGGTCGCCGGGGATAGGTGTAGGCCATCGCCGAAAGGGTTCTCGGATGTCCGAGGGGAGCTGCTGATCTCCGATAAGTGGCGGGGATATATATAGCTGCTGGGTTCCCGACACCAATGGAAACTCTCGTTTAAATACTGATGAAAATTCTATTCTATATCCAAAAGGGAAGAACGAATTCGAAAGAGCACCTGATTCTGATTGTAGCCCGGGAAGGACTGCTTTGATTCCGGATCCGCTTCGGTTGCGGACTGCGGCTCGGAGTGGAGCCGCTAGATTGCTTCGATTGCCGGTCGCAGCTCGGAAAGGAGCTGCTGCTGCTGCTGCTGCTTGGATTGGGGGCTGCAGCTCGCAAAGGGGGAGCTGCTTATTTGGGCGCCTCTGCTCAAACACCGGTGGATCCTCATTCGAGGCATCCGACGGCGAGGGCGACGGCGACGGCGAGAGAGTGGAGATCGGCGCACGGCAGGCGGCGGCGCATTACTCACACCCGATCCCGTTTCCTCTCTTTTTTTTTTTCTTTTTGCCGGCGTGGTTGGGAAGATCACTATTTTACCCTGAGGCCTGCGGTGGAGGAATGATGGCACCGATGGGCTAAAGGCCCAACGTGTTATTACAGACATTGTTCGGTCCTCGAGGTCCAGCTTGTACTATTTCTCTGCTCTCTTTTTTTCCGCGGTAATACGTGCCTCGTTTATATCATAAAGATTATAGTACAAGTCACGTATACACCAGAGAAACCTTTTCTTAAGATTAATGTGGATGCTTCCTTCGACAAACATACACACCAGGGAGGAACTCGCCTGGAGGTTCGCAACCATGAAGGAAGGCTCATCCGCGCACAAGCACTCTGGTATGAAATTGGGATGTCAGCTATGGCTATGGAAGCATTTGCAGTAGGAGATGGTGTACGGCTAGCTTCTGATTTGGGGTTCAGGAGGGTAATCATTGAAACTGATGCACAATTAGTGATGAAACTGTTGGATTCTCTAAGTGTTGATCGCTCGGAGATAGCTACCACTCTGAATGAAATACAAGAGCTAAGCGGGAATTTTGATGATTTTCGTCTGGAATTCATATCGAGGGAGTAGAATGAATTGGCACATCTGTGTGCCAAGCAATGTAATTCTTCTAGAAAACGTTTTTTATGGATAAATTATATTCCCACCTTTCTTATGACTTGTGTAAGGAAGGAATGTAATCTGTTGGTTGATTAATGAAGCTCTTGATTCTAAAAAAAAAGTCACATACACACCGGCCTGATGAAACTAAAAAAATAGTAGAACGTTAGTCTTTGTCCAAACGAACTGCTTTCTGCTACTTCAAATAATAGTGTTCCTTTTCATGCTGGGTAGAGTGTTTTCGTACGTACATTTCTCCTTCCTCTTTTGATTCTCCCCCTGATTTACGTAGGTAAATCATCCACAAGATTTTATAGACATTTTTTAGGAAAGTCGACATGGCATTTTATATTTAGTGTAATAACATAGTTATATCAATCGCTAGTACACCAACTAGAAATGCAGGTGGCTCATTCTTCCACACAACAGTTCTTGAGTCCTCTCATTTACTACCAAGTAAATCCGCCATCATACTGGCTTCCCTAGGGCCGTCAAGAAACTTAAAAGAATGAAAATTAGGAGCTAAAGAGGTACATTCCTCGTATATTGCCGCCGCTGGGCCCAAAGAGTAGTGGACTAAACGCTCTTTTATTTCTTTATGGAGGGAGTACCTCTTAAATAAAAATGATAATATAGTCTTATGTATTCAAATCAGTCTATACAATTCATCTTGATCTGCCAGCTAATATGGTAAAAACCTTTTTAAGAAACTTTAAGATTTGTACAAACTTTCAAGGGGAGTGTACCGAAGCAAAACTCTTGATAAATGTGTGTGAATTTATAAAAAAAATCATAGATTTATAAATGCGTTCAAGAAATTTACAAATGATCTTGAATTTTTAAAAACTTCATGATTTACAAAAAAGGTTTGGAAATTCCAAAGTCTCCCTGATTTGAAAAAATATACGTAAACTTTCGAAATGCGCAAGAAGTTGAAAAAACGTTATTTTTTCCAAAAGTAAATGATTGAAAATATGGTCACTAATTCTTAAAAAATTGAATTAAAAACATGTTCTTCAGTTTTTTTATAAAGTTCAATAATTTTAAAAATGTTAAGGAATTTAATATTGCTCCTGAATTTTAGAATAGATTTTTGAATTTGAAAACTATTTTGAAATATTACTTGAGTAGATTTAAAAAGTATTCGTAAAAAATTGAAAAAACGATGATGAATTCTAGTATTGACCAAATTTAAAAAACAATTCTTGAAAATTTAGGAAAATAGAAATTTAAAATTTTTGCTAATTTAAATTTATGTGTATTGAATTCAAAATATTCCCAAATTTCATAAAACTATTTGTTAATTAAAATAATATTTGTTGATTCCAACAGAAAATTTATAGAATATATGAAAACTGGTAAAACCAAGATATACTGCACAAAAAAAAGTAAAAAATTAATGCGAAAAGAAAGAAAAGTGTCGCATTGGGCCTGACCTCCCATTCAGTGCTCTAAACGCCGGCTGGCGTTGTTGGCCCTCCAACGCGGCACATAGAGGGCCTGTGTAGCAAATGCGAAGCTGTCACTCAAACATCGCTCGCTTGCATCACGTTGGTTGGTTAGTTGACCAGCTGACAATTAAAATTTGGAAAAAGTTCGTAAAAGTTAAGAAGTTGTAAATCTGGATAGAGTTTAACAAAATTTGATAATAAATCACAAATTTAGAAAAGTTCATGAAATTTTTAAAAAGTGCATGAAATTTAATTTATCATGAATTTGAAGAAAAGGACCTAATAGTTCGTGCATTGAAAAAGTTCACAAATTGGAAAAAAAGATCATGAATTAAAAAACACGGGCTAAAATATTCATGAATTTTAAAAGAATCACATATTTTTAAAATTAATCATGAATTAAAAAACATGGGCTAATTAATCATGAATTAAAAAACACGGGCTAAAATATTCACGATTTTAAAATTGTTTACAGAAACTTAAACGAAAAAAATTAGAAAAAAATGAAAATGGAAAAGAAACAAAAAATAAGAAGAAAACCAAAGAAAAACGGGAACAGGAATCCAAGAAAAACCCAACTGGAAAACATAGACAAAAACATAACTATGTGGGACAACCCGCTACTAAACCTAACGTACCGGGGGGAGGGGTGCACCCCGTAAGAAAACACCCTTAATGGGGTGCTTAATGCGCTGAATTTATTTTTTTAGTAAAATCTCGCCTTCTTTATTCATCCTACGCAATCATCATAGGTACAAGGTTTGGGTCATGAGGATTACCCAACCAGAGATGTATACTTACTTCAAAATTACATGCAAACTTGGCGAGATTATGAGCCTCAAAATTAAAGTTCCTACGTTCGTGTATGAAAGAACTAGAAATAAAACTGGTACACCGGTTCGTTATTTCATGTACTATAGAAGCATTTGGACCTCCTGTCCCTCTGTTGATGTCGTTGATCGCCTCCTGGCAATCTGAGGCCACACAAATCTCTCGGGTCGCGAGGTCATCTGCTAATGCCAAGGCTTCTCGGCATGCATATGTCTCCAGGATGAGAGGGTCATTGATTCCTCGATAAACCACCGCCGATGACCCTAGATAGAGGCTAGTCTGATCTCGACACACGGCTGCGACTGCTCCGCCATGGTGAGATCTAGCAACAACACCATCAACGTTAACCTTCACGAATCTTGTCAGGGGTGGAAGCCACCTTCTGACCTGCGGGCGCGGAGCAGAGCTGGTCTCCTAGCTAGTCCCGCTAGGTTGTAGCTGGCCTAACTCGGCAATAAAGTTGGTGACAAAAGACATTGTATGTTGGGGACTCTGGAAGATCGATTCGTAGATAGCCTTTCTTCTCGCGTACCACACCGACCAGAGTGTGACGACCATCTTGGTGAAGTTTGCTTGATCCAATTTATCATTTAACTCGAACAGCCAGATCCTCGCATTTTGTTCCATAATCTCTGCCATTTGAGCTACAAGCGTCATCTAACAAAGCCCACACACACCGCGATGTGGTGCAAGACAAGAGAGCATGCCTCCATGAGTCCTCACAACCACATAGTGGGCGAACATCATGATCAGCCATATTCCTCCTCTTCAAAATGTCCAGAGTTGGTAGAGAGTGATGCGCTGAATATATATATATGGATTTGCACACTATGCTGCGCATAGTAGGTTGAGGGGTTGCTATTGGTGGACTTCCCACTCCTTACACGGGGAGTATGATCCACATATATAACACCCTTTTGCTTCAAATTGTCGACCTACCGCACGTGTGGTCACCGGGATCATTATCGTCAAGTGCTGAGCGACTGTTGCCTATTTTTACTAGTTTGAACTAGTTGTTTCTGTTGTTTTCTAGAAACATCAATATTTATTGTCTTAAAAAAAACACTTTAAAAATTTTGAGCACATATTTTTGTAAAAAAAAGTATTTTTTAATGCAAACTTGTTTTGAAATGTATAGGAGAGTTTTTTGAAAAAAATGTCACATTTTACATAAATTTTAGGATGTTTACTTTGAATGTATGAAATTTTGTTTGAAATATTTCAACAATTTTTAAAAGGCAGACAACTATTTAAATTGTAAACGGTTTGCAAAACCAACATTTTAAAAATTAAATTTTTGAAAATTATTGTATTTGTGTTTAATATTGACTTTTTTTATATTCGGAACATTCTGAATTTATTCGCATAAATTCTTAAAAATTTCAAACATTAACATAAAGAAAAAATAAAACAGGGGAACAGGGCAAGAGAAAAATAAAAATAAAAAAGGAAAGAAATCTGGTAAAGATAACAACAAGAAAAGGAAAATAATTGGACCGAAACCTTCTAAAAGGTTCGCAAAACTGGATTCCTACAATATGTCTAATTGGGTCGGGATTTTTATTAATATATGAAGTAAGAACTTTTCAATAATTTCTTATAAACATAAGTTTCAAAAAGTTAAAATTAAATTAAATTAAGTAGTTACATTACAGATGACCTTGCAACTGTAGAAACTCAAAGAGCAACATGAAAGATGTAACGATAATCCTTAATGTGCGCCACCTTACGAGGTGTGTGGGTGGTGTGGGGGGGGGGCACAAACAGATGGTGAGTGCTTTTAATGAACAGATTGGTGCCAAGCACCATTGAGGACCGCTAGATATGGAGTTCGATGGCATGTCTGAGGTGTTACTCCGGCCAGATTCTTTCAATAGTAATGACTTCACCTTTGGTGAGCTACTTTGGAATTCTGAAAACCAGCATATCAGCGATGGAGCCGTGTCGAGTTAGGGTGAAGAGGAGATCTGTTATTTTTCTTTGGTGACAGTCGCAGTCGTGCCAGAGACAAGTGACCGGCATTAGAGTCAAGCTCAAGGGTGTCATCGGTCTTCTTTGTAATTTTCTTTCTTTGACAGGTGGTCCATTGTGTAAAGGCTAACTTTCTGATGTCTTTTTTAGTTTTGTCAGGTCGGTGTTTATGTTGCTTATACTTTGATATTTTTATATGAATTAGACACGTATTACCACAAATAAAAAACATGAAAAGAAACACTGTTTTTTTAAGTAGCTTTTTTTGTTGAGAAAATTGTTTTGAATTGGCAGAGAGTAGAGAACTACAACAAGTTTTTTTTAGAAATGCCACAAGGTATTGTTTTTTAGGGTATAGAAATACTACAAGGTGGACCTCGAGGACCGAACAACAATGGCTGCAATCGCACGTTGGGCCTTTAGCCCATCGGTGCCATCATTCCTCCGCCGCAGGCCGCAGGGTAAAATGGTGATCTTCCCAACCACGCCGGGTTCCACCAAGAGAGCAAAGGGGATCGGGTGTCAGTTATGCGCCGCCGCCTGCCGTGCGCCCATCTCCACTCTCTCGCCGTCGCCGTCGCCGTCGGATGCCTCGAATGAGGATTCACCGGTGCTTGACAAGAGGCGCCCAAATAAGCAGCTCCCCCTTTGGGCTGGGAGCTGCAGCCCCCAATCCAAGCAGCAGCAGCAGCTGCTCCACTCCGAGCCGCAATCCGCAATCGAAGCAGCTCCCTTTTTTAGCGGCGATCCGGAATCAAAGCAGTCCTTTCCGGATTACAATTATAAACAAGCCCTCTTTCGAATTCAGTCTCCGAGTTTCCATTGGCGGCGGGAACCTAGCTGATATCCTGAGGAGACCAAGTCGCGGCAACTCGTGAGCTTCAGCTTGCCGAATTTCGGAGGAGACGACCAAAATCCATCCGAATTCCGGCGATGTCGAGCTCTCTTCGACGGCCAGCGGCTGCCAGACCCATCTCCAAACCATCCGCCAAGGGCCTCAACAGCCATAACCGATGGTCCTCTCTAGCCAATCTGGTCAGTTACTAATTATCATGTACATCTTTTTTTCATTGCCTGAGACAATTCTTCATCTAAATCCTGTTACAAATACAAAGTAGGGATCATAGTAGAAACTAGTGGTCAAAATTGCTTTTCTGTGCGCGGAAAATAGCGCAATTGCAGTTTTGCTGTTGGAAGGCAGCAAAAATTACAGTTTTTTTTTTCTTTCTGGAAACACGTACGAATAAACATAGCATCCAGGAGACTGTAAGAAATCGACTCTGATTTTGTTCCATTCTAATAAATGCAGCCAGAGGAAGAAGATGAATTGGATCGGCTCAGTAACTTGCCTGAGGGTGTGTTGCTCGATATTTTAGGGCGACTTGACATCGCAGATGCTGCTAGAACTAGAATCCTCGCCAGACGGTGGAAGGAGATTCCTACAATGCTCTCCAATTTTTTTATAACAGTTGGTTCCTATGACGATGAGCACAATAGAGCGTTGACCCGTGATGATGTAGCTCGGGCCAATGCCACCGTCCTTGGAGCAACCAGGAGCTTGCTGGAAAGCAGGACTAGTACAAGCATATGCACCTCCATTAAGCTCCTGCGCGTGCAATTCTTCTTGGGAGATGGAGATGTTACTAGTATCGGCCAGTCTCTTGCCAACACCATGGCAATGAACAAGGTTGGGTCAGCGGAATTAACTCTCTTTACAATGAAGGAAAGCACACGATGCAGAAAGGACGATGTTCTCACTTATGGGATGCAGTTTAAGTCATTTTTTGACGCCTGTCCAAAGGCATTCAGTGGTCTGGCAAGACTCAAGCTAGAAAATTTGAGGCTAGCTGAATCATCAGGCTTCCCTGAAATTCTCAGTGTATGCAAGCAACTGGAGTTCCTCCGCCTGTATAACTGCGACATGGGGTACCTTTCTTTGCTAGAAGTGTCACACCCACTACTCTGTGAACTCGAGATTGTCAAGTGTGATTTTGAGAGGGTTGATCTCATGTGGCTACCAAAGCTCAAAATGCTGACTTATTCTTGGTGGGTCTGTGAACACGATCCTTTGTCTTTTGATTACGTCCCACTGCTCCAGACTCTGAGCCTCACCAGTATGGCTCTTGCACGGCACAAGGTGCTCAAGTTAAGTGACTTCCTTGGCAAAGCCACCATAAGCGACCTGCATCTAAATTTTCTGTGTGAAAAGGTTAGTGAAGGTGATATAATCTTGTTAGTCAACTACAAGTTTCCCTTTATGTTCTGTTCTTTAGGTTAACAAACATATTTTGTCTTCTGCAGATCTGGGTTAAACCAGAAGAACCAGATCAATTGTTGCAGGTGTTCCACAAATTAAGGCATGTGACTTTGACCCACATCTCTGAAGAATGCGATCTGAATTGGACAATGTTCATTCTCCAAGGTGCACCGTACCTTGAGGAGCTATGCATCAAGGTAGTAAAGTTTTGTACCTATAATCTCCAAACAGTTTCCCTTTCTGTTTCATGTGCGAGTTGCAGTGGAATTGTCTATCTCAACTTTCCTATAAGCGCATTAAAATGTTGAGCTGGTGCATATGGTTTTATTTTTCTTGCATTTGTAATTTTTGCCCGATGAAATGCAGGTGTGGGATCATCCATGTGATATTATAGAGGATGAGAGGCTTAGGAAGATGTATGGGTTTAGCGAGGACAAGAAGGACGCATGTGCAGTGTGGGAAGCGCCTGCAGATTTCAAGCACCACAATTTGTCTGTGCTCAGGGTCTTTGGGTTTCAGTGCGAGGAGAGGTTTGTGAATTTCGTCAAAAGTGTCATGGAAGCATCGGTCGCTCTGCAGGACATATACTTGTGTGAGACGCCGGTGTGTGCGGACTGTGAGCACATGAGGCAGAATGACAGATACCCGCGGACAAGCAAGCTTAGGACCATGCTTAGGAACATATTTGACAGGGGGATGTGCTCGCCTCTGAGGATTCATTTCCCACTTTCAAGAACAAACTGAAGGGCTCCCTAATTGCATTGCTGACTGAAACGCAGAAGGAAGGCAAACGATGCAGAAAGGACGATGTTCTCACATATGGGATGCAGTTTAAGAAATTTCTTGATGCCCGTCCAATTAAAAAGTTCACAAATTTTAAAAATGTTAAGGAATTTAATAATGTTCCTGAATTTTTTAAAATATTTTTTAAACCGAAAAAATAATAGGGAATTATGAAATATTAATTCAGCAGATTTAAAAAATATTCACAAATTTAAAAAGACAATCATGAATTCCAGTACTGACCCCAAATTTTTAAAAATCCATTCACAAATTAGGAAATGGAAATTTTAGAAAGTTTGCTAATGTAAATGATTGTGTATTGAATTCATAATATTCCCAAATTTTGTAAAACTATTTGCTAATCTGAAAAATGTTCACTGATTAAAATGGAAAATAGAAAAAATAGATGAAAACTGGTGAAACCAAGATATAAAGCGCAAAAAGTAAGAGAAGTGTCGCACTGAGCGAGACCTCCCATTCGGTGCTCTCAGCGCTGGTTAGCGTTGCTGGCGCTCAAACTCGACGTGTTGAGGGCCGGCGCAGTAAACGCGAAGCTGTCGCTCGAACATCGGTCGCTCGCATCACGTTTGACTGGTTGACCAGTTGGCAATTGACTTTTCAAAAAAGCTCATAGAAGTTAAGAAGTTGTAAATCTGAATAGAGTTCACAAAAAAATGATAATAAATCACAAATTTAGAAAAGTTCACGAAATTTGTAAAAAGTTCACGAAGTTTAAATAATCATGAATTTGAAAAATAAATTAGGAGCTAATAGTTCATGCATCTGAAAGAGTTCAAAATTAAAAAAAATCATGAATTAAAAAACACCTGCTAAAAATTTATAACTTTTAAAAGAATCACATATTTGAAAGTGGTTCATGGATTAAGAAAACATTATTTTTTAAAACTGTTTACAAGAAATGAAAAGAAAAGCCAAGAACGAAGAAAAAGGAAAAAGCTGAAAAAGAAAAGGAAACAAAAAATAAGAAGAAAACCGAAGAAAAAACTGGAACAGGAACCAAGAAAACCAACTGGAAAACATTAAAAAAACATAAGTATATGGGACGGCCCGCTACAAAGCTAGCGTACATGGGGGGAGGGGGTGCACCCCGTTGGTGCTTAATGCGCTGAATAGGATTTGTGCACTGGGCTTGCACATTGAGGGTTTAGGGGTCGCTATGGTGGACTTCCCACGCCTTATTCTGGGAAGAGTATCCACATATATAACACCCTTTTGCTTTAAATTGTCGACATGCCGCACATGTGGTTACCCAGATCATTATTGACAACTGTTGTGCGATCATTGCCTATTTTTTTTTACTAGTTTTGAGTTAGTTGTTTCTGTTAGTTTGTCAAAAACATCAATACTTATTTACTTAAAAAATTAAACACTTCATTTGAGAACATATTTTGAAAACAAAGCAGATTTTTTTAAAATCAAACAAATTTTGAAATGTATGTGAGCATTTTTGGAAAAAAACTCACATTGTACATAAAATTTGTGGACGTTTACTTTGGAAGTATGAAATTTTGTTTGAAATATTTCCAGAATTTTTAAAAGGAAATCAAATTTTGAAATTGTAAACAAATTGTGACACCAAAAATTTTAGAATCCCATTTTTGAACATTTATTGTAATTATGTTTAACATGGACATTTTTTTATATTCGGAACATTCTAAAATTTAGCTTTCAAGTAAATTCATAAATTTTGCAAACATTTAAATAAATGAAAACTAAAACAGGGGAACAAGACAACGAAAAATAAAAAGAAAAAATGAAAGAAATCTGGTAAATAAAACAACAAAAGGAAAACAAATTGGAGCGAAACCTTCTAAAAGGTTCCTAAAACCGGATTCCTTCTGTACGTCTAATTGGGTCGTTTGTTTAACTAATATATGAAGTAAGAACTTTC